GAAAATTCTGCTTCAGCATAATTTCAGTTATCAAAATGTTCAGCTCTTCAAGGACATTCATGCTTCTCATAAGAATTTTATCATGCCCCATTCAAACGCATGGGGAAATTCTACACTCAGCATACTTTAAGCTATTTCAGGTATCAAAATGTTCAGCTCTTTGAGGACATTCATGCTTCTATTCAGAATTATTCTAAACTTCATGCTTTTGAAATATTTAGCTTTATTTTTAAAGTTTTTCCTGATTCAAATGAATGGGAAAATTCTACTTCAGCATACCTTCATCTATTTCGGGTATCAACATGTTCAGCTCTTCAAAGACATTCATGCTTCTATTTACAATTTTTCAAAACATCACACTTTTAAAATATTTAGTTTTATTCTAAAAAATTGTCCAGCATACTTTCTGCTATACAGGCCATTGAGGTCTTGATCTGTTCAACTCTTGAAGGACATCCCTGCTTGTACACAACTTTTATATAACATTTATACTTTTTAATCTATTCAGCTTTATTTTTTGCAATACAAGTCAATGGGAGCTCAAAGTGCTGAGTCAATGACATGGTCTTGGAGTGCCTTCTGGTGGTTCATAAAATGCAGCGCAATTGGGACATGCCCCAACATAACTCCTCTCTTTGTCTCTCTCCCCTTATCCTTCACCCTCTCCCTCTGTATTGTAAGCTTGCCCATTCAAATGTATGGGAAAATTCTACTTCAGCATACTTTCAGCTATTTCAGCTATCAAAATGTTCAGTTCTTCAAGGACATTCATGCTTGTTGTCAGGATTTTTCTAAACCTTATACCTTTGCAATATATAGCTTTATTTTGAAAGTCTTGAACCGTTAAAATGAATGGGAAAATTCTACTTCAGAATACGTTCAGCTATTTCAGGTAACAAAATGTTTAGCTCCTCAAGGACATTTATGCTTCTATTCAGGATTTTTCTAAACTTCGTATTTTTGAAATATTTAGCTTTATTTTGAAAGTTTTGCCCCATTCAAATGAAAGGGAAAATTCTACACTCAGCATACTTTTAGCTCTTTCAGCTATCAAAATGTTCAGCTCCTCAAGGACATTCATGGTTCTCTTCAGAATTTTTCTAAACTTCATACTTTTGAAATATTTAGCTTTATTTTGAAAGTTTTGCCCAATTCAAATGAATGGGAAAGTTCTACTTCAGCATACTTTCAGCTAGCAAAATCATTCAGGTGTCAAAATGTTCAGCATTGTCAAGGCGATCTTTTTTCTTCAGAAAATGCATTTCTCTAGTTTAAAAATAAATGGGTTTTTTTTGTATTTTTGGCAGGATTTCAATTGGTTCTTTTGATTGATTGAACCTTCACTAAACCCGTGAAAGTGTTTCTTTAACCTCTACCTGTACTGCCTGTGTGGAGAGGCTGCCCTGATGCTAGCAGCTCAGTTGTTTGGAAAAGCCAAAAACTCCTCCCCCTCTGTGTTCTGACTCCTCTCCCTGCAGTGTATGTGAAGTTGTGTCTTGTCAGCACTTAGGACAGCAGCACGTAACATCCCGCGACAACGAGTAAGCTCACTGGACAGAAGGTGAAGCTGTGACCCAGTCGGATTGGTCACTGGTGGAGTGATATCTGCGAGGTAGCCAGTCAACATTTCTACATTTAGTCAAACATTTATTTACATTTCCCCATGTGATTAGTAGTAATTAATCTATTTTCATACACAGTCACACAAAACACAGCTGAATTCCATTAACACATAAAATCATGTAACATAATATAACAACTGTAGTGGTGAAAAAAATAAACCCTATTCCAGAGGAAATATGTAATGGAACAGTATGTAGCTCATATAGACCATATTCGGTATTAGCTTATGTAAGTGGTTATATAATTAATACTTAGAATCCTAGTTAAGGCCTAGTATGGTCAGAGATGAATCCTCTGTGCCAGAAGATTGGGAGTCAACCTTCCTGTCTTCCTAGAATGGAGTGAGAAGGGGGGTCGCAGAGACGTCAAGGGGGACAGAGTCCAGCTGTTGAGAAGTAGCTAGTGGCTGAGCTGATAAAAAGAAGTGAGCCTGAGGGAGCCAGGGATAGAAAGGAGATGACCATGCTGCAGTAACCAGTAGACGAGGTACCTTCTAGGGACCCAGCCGGCTGGGGAAAATATGACTGACTGGGGCTGACTGACCCAGGACTGGTAACAAAGGACCTGACAACGACTGACTGGTGCTCCGACAATCTTTAGGCTCTATCTATTTCATTGCAGGAGGAGAGTCTCTGTTCTCTGATCTCTGTTCTCTGTTCCCTAACTAGAAGATTATCTGTTAGATGCTACTCTATTTAGAATAATTGTAATATTAAATGATCCTTTAAATTGTAATGGTTTGTCTGAATTTATTCAGTTGGTATTTCACTCTTGCCACGACACAACCATATGAAGAACCCTGAAATGCCACACTGAACATCAGTCTGTTTTGTTTATCTAAACCAAGTACTACTTTTTCAGTATTCACCAGAATTGAGTATGGGCATGGGGTGCGTAGTTTCACTGCAGCAGACAGCAGACAGGTGTAGAGTGATGGTGTGGAAACTGTGAAGCTTGACTTTAGGAACACCCGTGCTGTCACTGCTCTGGTAAACAACATGACCTAGGACATCGAGAATCTGACGCACCTGGAAGCTCCCTTGCTGCTGTGCAGTGAAAGACAAAATGACATCCTAGGGAAAGCAACAGAGAGAAATAACTGGTCACATTCACTGCTTTAGAAATGCATGACTAAAGGAATCAATAGTCTTACCTGGCATTGACCAGGGGCTATGGTGCCAACAGAGGGCTTGGTGGTGAAATGTGCTAACTTGTGGAAGCGGAAGTTGAGGGCAGAGATTCTGCAGCACACACCGCACATCTACACGTTGACCTGTTACACAGGCGAGGAAATCAAATCTTCGAGAAGGACTGGCCACCAGAGACACAGGCAGCCCGGAACCTGTCACTGCTAGCTCCACACTACTGTTACCTAAAGTCAAACAAAGGAAACAATGAAATAAGAAGAAAAACTGATCAAATATCAATGTGTTCTAACTTCAGTTATAACTTAATTAATCAGTTTATAAAGTTACATGAACCAAAATGCTGGCTTGAAATAGTCCTCTAGACACATCTGCATAATGCAGTGTAATGCGACTGTGTGTGTTGGATGTGTGTGAGTACCACTACGGTGAGTGAAGCCATCCATGTTTGCTCCCCACTGACTCGAACAGCAGGAAAAGACAATAGTCTTGCTTGCTGGCTGGCTGAGTAATCACTTTTCTTCCTTTCCATTGCACTGAAAGACAGAATATTGCTTTGGAGTGGTTAAGATAAATTGGAACTTTCCAAAATTATAACTGTATGCTCCTCGTTAGTATAGTGGTAAGTATCCCCGCCTGTCACGCGGGAGACCGGGGTTCAATTCCCCGACGGGGAGTTAGCATTTTCTTCCCACAGGTTTTTTAATGTATTTGTTTCCTAAATATAGTACTCCTACAGTACAACATTACAAAACTGCAATTCTATATGTACATGAGATATACTGACATTTTCTAAGTAACAATTATCATTATTAAATGTTTAGACTACTGGAATCTTGGACTCTTCTAATAATGTGTCTTCAAAATGTCAAACACAACTGGACTCACACAAACAGTTTACCTCTTGCAGATGGGGCTGAAGCATATTGCCACAGTGGCTCTGTCATATGGTTGCAGTCGACCCTGATTAGGGACACATACCAAGATCTGAGAGACATCCTGAGGGGCTGGCCTGCACTTCTTGATTCTCTCCAGCAGAGTGGCGCCTGTGCTCTTTTGGAGGTTTGTTCCCTACATAAACTGCACAGTCAAAGCCCTGTTGTTTCATTTCTCAGTATCTGCACACTTGTTTAAAGATGGCAGTATGTTTTAAAACAATGATTACATTAGTATTTCTATTTTCCCAATACTGAATGCATATATAATAATTAAAATGTTTAATGCAATGAATTGTGCTCCACTCACTGTTATGCATTACACTATTCATGTCTTTTATTTATAATTCGCTTGAACTCCTTAAATTACACAACAGACATCTGCAAGATGATAAGTATAATGCAATGCAATATTACTACCAGGCTGGGTGAAGATAAATACTAAGTACTTCTACATTAGTCTAAGACTGAACATAGACAATTTTAGGTCAACAAAAGAAATCCTGTTGCAAATGTGAGCACAGCACATAGTACTTCAGTCATTAACAATCACTCAAGGCAACACACTTATTCTTTCCTTATACTTGCAAGTCAAACTTGTAATAGTGTAGAATTATAGAATGTCAGTAAAGATGATCAAAATACAGGATCGACATTTACCAATAGTCACTATGGGACCTTTTCTCCACAACTTGCCATCATCTGGTCTGTACTATGTTTAACAGCACATCCTTGCCCAACAATCACCACTTCAGTCCCAGTAGCACTATCCTGGACCAGGCAGACCCAATAACAGGCCTGAGGAGCATTGTTTTTCAGAATCACATTCTCCATACGAGATGTTCCAAAGTAAACAGGCCCAAACAACAGACACGAGAGTGGAGCCCCCTGTACAATGGTACAACAATTTGTCTTTAGAGAACTTAATCATAAACTTGGTTTGGAGGGGAACGGGAACCAAGTTGAACATGTAGATACTTTGTCAAGTTCTTATCAAATTGTACCTGGATCACTGGATTACCTGCAGATCAAAGATCTCAAGGCACTGGTCCACCACCTCAGTCTTGATATGCAGAGCTATAGCAGAGCGATTCTCAAGTTTTATGCTGGGACAGAGCCAGAGCACAGCTGTTACTCAAAACCACCACTTAAAGTTATTTAAATTTTCTGTCAATAGTTGTGTGTAATCTCTAGATGAGGGTGATTACATTTTTTCTCTATTGCTTTCATTCATTTCTCACAACAGAATTGAAGTTTGCAGATCTCCAAGTGCATTTCTCAAAACAACACGTACAAACTGCACAACATAGTGGATAACCGGAAAAAGCGCGTCACCTGCTCAAAATGCTTTGTCTATCGTGCAAAAGTGTGTTTTTTCATCAATCATTGTGTCAGAGGCAGCAGAATCCCATGTCATTTCCTCAACAATGTGAACGTGACAGGCAAAATTATTAGTCATGTTGTCAGTAGAACATCATACTCAGTTTTTGTTATTTACTGTAAACTATACTCAACTCAGGTTTTGATGACTAGAAACCACTAAATTACCGTACTGGTGTGTGTCATAATTTACAGTGTCCCTCCGGTAAAAAAAAGAAGTGATTCTTGCAAACCATTGTGCATCAACCAGGTGTTACAGTAATTTACATGGTAAGAATAGATAATTTTCTGAATGATTCCATCTAACCTCATCTAACCAATCACCATCGCCCCACGTTACAGTATATGGAAGAATCGAAACAAAAGATCAGACTGTACTCACATTTCTACTGTACTGTCAATAGTGGTACTTACATACAGACAACAAAGGAAACTATACATAGTCTATTTACCTAGCAATGGAAACATACTGTAAAAAAGACAAAGTGGGAAGAACTATACATGTACAACAGAAGGTAAAGTTTTCCTATGTGTCATGTCGGTCCTGTCTGTTGGGCCACAGATTCTCATCCACATCACAACATATATTTTGTCTTGCTATGCACCGTGGAAAGAATCTTCTTGAGTGCCTAATCCAGCCTCTGCATGCATCTGCTGAGATGTCCTCACATGCTGCATCCATGGCAGCCAGCAGTGTCATCCGTGTATGTGGCTGATGATCATAAACCTTCCACCGCCAAGCCGAGAAAAACTCTTCAATTGGGTTCAGGAATGGGGAGTAGGGTGGAAGGAATTCAATCAGCATCCTGCGGTGGTGGACAAACCACTGCCTGATGTTGTCAGAGCGATGGAAACTGACATTATCACAAATTACTACATACTTTGGTACATCATCTCGATTGAGGTCCCTCTCATCTTCAGGAATGACATTTCTATAGAGATTGTCTAAGAATGTAAGGAGATGCTGTGTGTTGTACGGTCCCATAATAGGAATATGAGCTAGCACACCTTGGTCTGACATAGCAGCACACATAGTGATGTTTCCTCCCCGTTGGCCTGGGACATCGACAGTAGCTCTCTGGCCGATTAGATTTCTACCACGCCTTCTGCCTTTGGCCAGGTTGAAGCCAGCCTCATCCAAGTATATGAAGTTGTGAGGTGGTTCTCTTCGTTAACGAAGGTGAAGACTCACCTGAGAGCAATTTCTCAATTCTGGACATATTTCTTAGCAAACATCTACTCACACTTTGTAGAAATCTGTACAGACATACAATTCTGAGAACATGTTCACTCATTTTGATAGTACAGACTTCCAACCTGAAAAAAAGACCAATTGGTTTAGTGGTTGTGACATTTCAGCTGAGAACCAGGACAAGTTATTTTGCACAGCTGGACAAAAGCAACAAGAATTGTCAAAAACAGCTGACAGATGTACAGAACCATTTGCATGTTGTCCAAAAGCAATTGCAATTTGATGAAAACAACAAGAAATTGCTGATATGATGTGAACAACTGACAACAGAATCTGACAGTTGAACGAAAAGTTCTGAGAAATGCAGTTATGTTGTGAGAAATGAATGAAAGCGATAGAGAAAAACTGTAAAGACATAACATATTTTTATAGAAAATAGGGGACTTTCTGTTCAAGTAGCTGCAGCCAGTTCACATTGCTTTCCTGAACTGGTATTATAAAGTTTGTCTTACAAAGCCTTCTCATCAATATGCCTGGATCCATCTGTGCGCAGTTCAGCTTTCAGCCACTGGGTGGAGCCAGCTGCAATGACTCCACACAGGGTGAAACTGTGACCAATGGGTCTCTGCTGTACTGCACTTGGAATGCACCTGCAATGCACACACACAAATACATATGCGTATTGTCACAGACTGAACTTTCTAGGTAGTCCCAAACACTTAGGGTCGTGGGGGGGGCAGGAGCCAATCCCACCTGACACTGGGCGCGAGGCAGGGTACACCCTGGACAGGCCACCAGTCTATCACAGGGCTGACATGTAGACAACCAACCACACACACTCACACTCGCTGTTACTGGCAATTTGGAGTCACCAATCAACCTAAGATGTATGTCTTTGGACTGTGAGAGGAAGCCAGAGTACCAGGAGAAAATCCATGCAGGCACAGGGAGAACATGCAAACTTCGCACAGAAGAGCTCCAGGTCAGCCTTGGCTCAAACACGGAACCTTCTTGCTATGAGGCGACAGCGCTAACCACTTAGCCTATGTGCCCCCCCAAAAGATATGTTATACCCAAATGTTAGATACAGTATCAACAGGCCAAGACAAACCCACTCGATTTACCTGGAGCTGTTCCTTTATTGGTTATAGGATGATGTTTGCTGATCACCTGATTATTTGCAGCAATACAACCAAAGTCTAGTACAGAGTCTACCAGGAGTGAACAAACCTTTGGAAACCTGAAAGAGTGGATACGCTGAATTAATATGTAAAAATATTTGTGATGTATTTGAGAACAAAAAAGTATGCAATATGTCATGGACAGCATGTTTGTTCCTCAATATCTCGGATTAATATTATAAATACATCTAGGCCTGCTTACTCCAGCAGGGGGATCTTTATGGTCTCTGTATCTTCTACATGAATCAAAAGGCAGTCTCTGACCTCCTCCTGTTTCTCTGGAATTAACAAACCAGGAACCACCACCATGGCTGGGCTAGCTGCTGTGAACTGGAATAACTGCAGGAAAAAGGAAAAAAAATAAAGAGAGGGAGGAAAGGCATCACTAACATGTATAGGAAGAGCCACTTTTGTGGTACCTTTTTATTATACGTATATCAAACATTTAGAGACGAACATTTTAAGACATGGACACAAACACAGACATGCATCTTACCAATTAAGTATTTTTTATACTCAAGACGCAGGGAATCACTGAATCCACACTTAATGAAATTATATACTCGCTTGAAAACTCTTTTCAATAAAAAATGCTAGTTACATCTGTCTAAATCTCTATCAAAGTACATATGACCGAACATAAATAGATACCCCTGAACCACAATGTCCCATAATTTATTTGCTTGTTCAAGTTGACAGCCTTAATGATAACGCTAACTGGCTAACAAGGAATTTAGCTAACTTAAACACTTACTTAAATATTAATTGAAAGACAAGTAGCATAATTCTATGTGTGAAATGTACCTTAAACTTAGCGTAAGTTCACATTACCTTTAACGCTGGCTTTTCAAAAATTATTTTCTTCGAAGTTTTGCCAATATTTTTTTACCGTAACTGTCTTCTTATAAACATGCCCGATTTTGATATCGTTGAACTCCACCAACCGTGGGTCAGCTCGAACGCAGCTTACAGCCATGATGTAGCTTTGAAGTTACTATTTACTTACATATGACAAATGTCACTAATATATTTTCCTTTAATTAACATGCATGTTAAGCTGTTGTAACCCGAATGTTACAGACTGTTCACATGGTTTCTAGGTGACGACGACTCTAGTTGCGCTCGTTTTACAACCTAGTACAGCTCAGGTGGTGGACAGAGCGGTTGTTGGTTGCTACTCGACTGTAAATGTGCGTTCGTGTTTACCTCAGTGGAATTTTGTTAATATCACGAGTGAAGACACAGATTATCGTTATTATTCAAAAGAAAGGCAGGCTTTGTACAAAGTACATCTCATCTTATCTCCTATCCTTTCACAATGTTTTAGCAGTAGTTTTTAAATGAAAGGAACACCTTTTGCTACACCGATAGAGATCTAAGATCTTATCTACTAAGGAATGGTTTGATGTTGCCACCGCATTGAAAATAATATTTATGTTGCAAATATAACAAAGCTGAAAATGTACATGATATAGATTTCATTTCACTTTCACAATTTTAAAATAAGTACAAAGAAGGCAGCAGGTCCACACCCAAATCTTCAAATAGGCAACACCTGCTGCCTTTTTATTCTTTGGATGTGGACTTTAGTTTAACACACCCCACATTCACCTTTTTCCTCTGCCTTTGGTTGAGCATGATCAAGTTGAAAATAAAATAAGCACGAATGTGTACTTATTAATACAGTAGATCCAATTTATTTTACCAGGAAAAAAAGAGGTACATTATGCATTACAAAAATAAGCTCGATACTTAGTCACACTACAAAAATGTGAATGACACAAATGCGTCAGTTTTTCAGTTTTATGTTTTAGAACAAAGGATGAATCCATTATATCTACTGTAGGACTTTACAAGACACCAGCAGGGCTCTCCCATATTTCATCATCATAAACATTAGAGGCAGATGTGATTTTCTCTGTGACTGTTGAATCTGGGCGGGGGTCGTCTCTGTCACCTGTCAGTTTTGATGCATTTTCAATGAAAACCCCTGTGACCTGCTCAGCTCTTACTGCTGTGTCCAAAGGAGAATCCCTGGATTGTTCTGAGCAAACTTGGCTGGTCAGCAAAACCTGGTCCTGACCGATTTGTGGCAGGAGCTGGTCAACTGCGACAGCTTTAATTGTTTCTAAATCACCTTGATTGCCAATATGTAGGACTGCTGTGCCACATTGTGCTGAACTTCTATTTCCACCTACTACAGAGGAAGACTGGGCCACAGCCCTGACTTCCTCTGGTAGCTTTTTGTGCCTCTCTTCATGCTCCCCTGTTACGTCTACTAATTTGGACCTGATCCCCTCCTGAATCTTAAGTGTGCTCTCCAGGGCAAAGAAGTTGTTGCATACAATGTAGCGCACGCACTGCAGAAGGACATTCCTCTCATGGCGGACATCTGGGGCTAGTAACTAAACAGAATGAAAGAAAACAAAAAAAGTTCATAAGGGCTGAAATGATGAATGATCTAGATAATACATATTTAAACAAATCTTTTTTCTCAAAGTAAAATTATGCGATTTATGCTCGTCAGAGATCTCCTTACCATCTCCAGTAGAGTGGGACGACGTTTCTGTGGTTTATTCTGTTGTCTACCACCCCTTCCTCCTCCTCGTCCTCTTCTGCTGTTAGGTGTGTAAAGAGCAGAGCCAGGCTGGGGGACTTTATTCATTTCTGATCCCGGTGAGAAGGTTTCCATGTCTCTGCTGGGTTCTCTGTCCTGAGAGTTTAGTGGTATTGTGCTTATTAGAACCTGGTTTTCTTGCACAAGGTCTTTGCCTTTCTGGATAGGAGTGGCTGAAACAAGAAACACAACAGAAATACTGGATGTAACAGGTCCATTTTGATTTTTCAGACATCTGTGAGTTGCTAGCAGAGATTTCCACTCTCCTTCTCGCAGATGGTTGCACTGAAGTAAAGTTTGAGGCCCAAAAATAATCCAAAGGTTCACAATAAAAAGCATAGATAAAAATAAAATCTGAAAAATGGTGACAAATTTGTGTAGCAGAATGCTCTTTTTCTACTGTTCTACACCATTTATCATCTCACGACCCTTCAGATTCCTATCCTACTGCTGTGGGTAAGATAAAACACTCACTTTCTGACTCTTCATCACTTTCTCTCTCACTCATGGAGCCGTAGTTTACCACCAAGGAGCTGAGAGCTGAGCTCATATGTTTAGGGGCCACAACCAGGCCCCCAGTCCTGGACTCCTCAGCTGGATCCTCTCTGTCAGAATCTGGAGGCACAAAAGAAAAGCAGTGAAGTGAAGCAAAGCCAAATGTTTCCAATTATACTTACAACCATGCTACAGTACATATAATGAATGTTGTCTATATACAGCCTGCATGCTCCTTCTTTACTGCTGGCAAAATACAGACAGTTAAGTGATACTTAGCTGATTACATCCTTGCTTTTCCATTCTGTTCCATGTTCCCACTACCACTACACCCCACTCACCATGGTCACTGGTGGCCAGTGCTCCCAGTGGATCCCCATCCCTGTAGAGCTGGGGGAGAAGTGGAGGTCTCTCTGCAGCACTGCCATTCAAAGGGCAGGAGCCTTGTGGGTGTTGCTGGAACTGTCTATTACCACAGCCTTGACCTCGACCCCGACCCTGCCCTCGTCCTCTCATTCGTCTATGCAGAGAATTAAATATTAACAGGATTTAGATTAGTTCAGTCCTCATGTCTGGTTCAGTGCAAAATATGTTATTTACACATCAATCTGTACATTTACCCAAACCGAGCTGTCTCTAAAACGCAACCTGATTCATCCCGCAACTCCATCATTTTCTTCTTCTTTGTGATATTCTGAAGTGTTGGATAGTTTCTGGAAATACAAACATAACATATCATTACATTTTGCTGACTGTATGTCTACATCATAAGCAAAATTTATATATGTAAAGCACATAATAGTTCAGAGACAAATTAGAATGTCTGGAACTGATTCTTCAATCTGTTTATGGACACTGACTTGCGCCTCTCTTCTCTCCATTTAGCAATCTCCTCTGGTGTGTCCAGCTTGATCCTTTTAGCTCCTGGTGCATGGTTCTGCAGTCAGAACATAAATATTAGCAAATGAAAACACTTAGGTCCTTAGATTGTGATACACCACCTATACAATACTGTTTCACTTACATTTTTCCAGTGGATGGTGACTATTTTTTCATGAGCCGTAAAGCTGCAGTCGGGCACAGAACACTAAGCAATAGAGTTGATTGTGGTAGTGAGGAAAATATGAATATCTATTACTAAAAAACAATATTAGATGAAAGAAAATATCAAACAAAAGCAAATACCTTGACATGTTGAGACACATGTTCATTGTACTTCTCCTGGTTTTTGAAACCCCGGTCACAGGTGTCACAAAAGTGGGAATACTCTGGTTCTTTCTTGTGTTTCTGTTGTGGGTTAAAGACATATCAGATCAACAGAGTGTACTAGGGTTGTATAACAAAATACCAGCAAAGCAGGATTAGGATTTGGCTGTATGACCTTTTTCCCATGGTTATTTGGGGGTCTGTAATTCTGTCTCCCACCGTGATGTCCACCCTGATGCCATTCATGACCAGAATTTTGACCTGAAAACATGACTGAAGTTAGAGGCAGTAACACACACATCAAAATCTCAGTCAATATTTTCTTTATTACAGTTAAAATGATAACTATGGTAGCCTGTAAGAGATAACATTCAAAGCCTTTTTCTGGTTGTAAATAAAAGGAACAATATTAAGGCGACAATAACCGATTGGAGTTACGTTACTCACCGTATGGACGTTTAGGTGCATAGTTTGCACGGCCTGATGGGAAACCAGCCCCTGCCGCGGCCCAGTGACTCCAGCCCGCCTGTCCGCTGTAGCCCCAGCTGGGTTCAGATGGCGTCTCGCACCAGTTCCACATGCTTGGGTGGAAGCTGCTTGAACAGGGCCGCTGCTGGAAGGCCTGAATGGAGTTCGGAGGAGGGCTGCCGAAGTCCGGTGGGGGATAAAGTCGCGGATTAATCATACTGCCCGCTCAAAGACTTCTTTCAGCCACCACCGACTCCATCTTAAAGATACATCTGCGTTTCTCACGACACTACTTTTACTTGAGCTTATTTTGCTCTAGGATACGACCATGGGTTATAACTTACATTCGTCACTTCCGAGAGAACAGGAAACACATTAAACAGGCGAATGCAGCCAATTAATGTATGATACAAACAAAACATATTAACGATGGGTAGTATTATAGCTCTAATTGCTTTATATACATAGCATACTCAACTGCAACTTTATTTTTTTACTATAGTGCCTTTATTTGTGAAAGCCGGAGTTGTTGTGACAACCCCTCGCGAGCTTTAATATGAGTCTCCTCTAGGGTTGCCAGGTTAAGGGAAAACCCGTTTAGAATTCATTTTCCACCTGCAGAGATCAGTTTCATCATTCGCATACTTGAGGAAGTGATATACATATGTAATGTTAAATTGACGTAAACACTTCTGATATTATATTTATTGTTTGTAAAATAAAATAAAAAGTGCCGTGTCTTTATAGTAGCTGAAATGGCAATACAATCATAACATTATGTCTGATAGTGGGTGAACGGACCTGGCAATTCAGCTTCCTGGTGGACTCTATCGCCGCGTGTGCTCAGAGTGCGAGCCGTAGCGTGGAAAAGCTCCTCACATAGAGAGCCCTTAACGCAACAAAATATCAGAGTCGCTGCCAAAATGCTCGTGTTATTTGAGACCGCTGCTGGATATGCGATATTCAAGGTATGTAATTTGTGTGTGTTCCCTGTCAGTTCAAAGAAGATTAATTTTTGCACAGTAGCTGTTTGAGCTAGCTTGGCCTAGTCTCATTGCTGCTTACTCGCAGTTCATGATCATTCAGTTGTAACTTGACGCATGTGTAACTGCACTTGTAAGAAATGAGCAAAGTGAATCAGCAGTCTTTTAAATTGTAACCAAGTGCCGTGATGGACATGTTGAAGTTAATTTGCTAGTATAGGTGGTCTTTGCTGATGAGCAGGCTAACATCAAGTTAGCAATTTGAAAGGCCGTGTAACCACGTGTGCACACTGAGGGTAACTCAAGTGACTGGCTAACTTAACTTTTCACAACACGATATTCACTCTTAGACATCAGTTGGTGGTAAGTGATAATCGATGATGATGTTATATGAATAAATGGTGACATAACCAGAAGTCTGAAAACGTTTACTTGCAAGTGTTGGTGTTTTTGTGTAACCCTTGAGTGTTGTTCAGACCTTAATGCATGACTGCTAACTATGAGTATCTGTTCATATTCAAGGTCCTTGATGAATCCAAGCTGCAACAGGTGGACAACCTGTATAAGGAGTTTGAAACGCCTGAAAAGGCAAACACAATGTAAGTGATGACGGGGCGGGTCGTTTCCTAACCGAGGATTAGCGTCCCGGCTCGTCCAGTCAAAGTGTCGAAGTGTCCTTGAGCAAGACACTGAACCCCCAGCTGCGCCCGGTGATGACACCGGTGTGTGAATGTGTGAGTGTTTGGGAGTGCAAATGGGTGAATGGCCAAATAGTGTGAAAGCGCTTTAAGTGTGCTGTAAAGCAGCGGTCCCCAACCTTTTTCGTACCACGGACCGGTTTCATGCATGAAAATGTTTCCGCGGACCGGGTAGAGGCACGGAGGTTCCAATAACAAAAACCTTTGTCAATTCATGTAATCTGAATGCAACTATTACACTTTATATTAGGCAATTACAATAATTCTACACTATATCAACTCACCATAATGCAGAGTCAGTGGGAGCCCTGGGCTTGTTTCCCTGCAACAAGATGGTCCCATCTAGGGCTGATGGGAGACAATGACACACGCAATGTGTTCCTTATGTCCAGTCTGCTTCGTAATTTTGTCTTGGTTGCTGTCACTGTAGAAAAGCCCGCTTCACAAACATAGGATGTTGGAAATGGTATCAGGGTTTTCAGTGCTCTTGTGGCTATTTCAGGATATTCTGGCTTGATTTTCATCCAGAACATTGGCAGAGTTGTTGTCACCGTCATTTGCGATTTCCAGCAGCTGATCCTCTTGTTGCACAGACATGCAGAGCAGTCTTGGTGTGTGAGAGTCACCTGTTGCGATAAACCCGTATTTTAAGTGTGACTCCTGATATTGTCTGTTAAAAGAAGCTTTCTTTTTCTGGGAGGTCGTGGGCTCCTCTTCTGGCTCCTCAGTTGGCCTTTTCCCCTTTGAAAAGAAGCCCTTCAAAGACTTTAGTTTTTTTTTTACTCATTTTTGCTAGTTTGCGGGCCATTTTTTTTTTTAGCAACGTATCATGTGACGTCGTGACCGACACATGCGTCTTGACGTGTCAAGGGGCACAGGTGGATGATACATCGGAGAAAATCCCGTTTTTCATAATAAAACATCTTCCAGACTCTAAAAATCAATGCAATGGAAATTATATAAATTATTTATTCTTTCTGTGTGGCCCGGTAACAAATGCCTCACGGACCAGTACCGGGCCATGGCCCGGTGGTTGGGGACCACTGCTGTAAAGCATAGAAAGGCGCTATACAAAATATAAGACCATTTACATAGCATTCAACTGCTCAGAGCATTTGGTTCTTGATGAGTTGTCAGTCACGGATAAAGTGTAGTTCACATACAGTGAATAAAGTGTGACCTCACTTTTGTTTTGTTTGTCAGTGTGAAGCTGAAGCACTTTGAGAAGTTTCTGGACACAACAGAGGCCTTAGCAGGTAATGACACCTTTTTGTATACTGTTGCGTACCTGAGATTTGGGATGTATGAATTTGTCTGATTAAAACCATGAGCTATTTCCCAGTATTCCTCACTGCCACTGAAACCACATGCTATCTTCTTAACCTTTGCTTTTCAGCTGCCACTGCTCTTGTTGAGGGAAAAATTGGCAAAAGTTTGAAGAAAGTGCTGAAGAAGGTAGTTGCCAAGGAACCTCATGAGCAGCTGGCAATTAGTGATGCAAAACTCGGTGGAGTTGTAAAAGTATGTACCCCAAAAACAGTGTAATTGACTAAACATTATGCCCAAGGGTTGGTGTCTCTAATGGGCTCTGGTTTCCAGGACAAGCTGGATGTGAGCTGTGTCCACAGCCCTGCTGTGGCTGAACTAATGAGATGCATCAGGAGCCAAATGGAAAGTCTCATCACTGGACTTCCTCCCAGGGAGATGAGTGCCATGTCCCTGGGGTTGGCTCACAGGTTGGTATCACAGAGATACAACATTACATGCGCATGCCTGCTGCCTGTGATTACACCTGCTATCTGAAACTTCCATGTAGCTTTTTCTCAGCATTCGTCACTACCACTGAGGCAGTAGTCCACCTCTTAATGTAGGACAATTGAAAGTAGTTGTCTAAAATAACACATTGTCTTTTTCTGTTTCTAGTTTATCTCGCTACAAGCTGAAGTTCAGTCCAGACAAAGTGGACACTATGATTGTGCAGGCTATTTGTAAGTTTTGTTTTTTTTTTATTTATGATGTGGCAAGAGGACAATATATATTTATGAATATGCCTGTAATTAATGACTTCATTCACAACAGATTCGTGTAACAATTATTTTTTCCATTATTTAGTACATTGAAAATGGTGTAAAAATCACAGTTTCCTAGAGTCTGTGTTGACTTATTCAAACAGCTTGTATTCAACAGTACAAAACCCAAAGGTATTCAGTGTACCATTGTCATAGACTAAGAAAATGAGTATATTTGAGAAACTGGAACCAATGAATTTTGGACTTAGTCCTTTGACAAAGACTCTAAAATGATTAGTTGACTCCCCCCACCTATAGTGATGATTATGGTCTGCCATGTATGTGAATATATCGTCTCTTCAGCTCTTCTAGATGACCTGGATAAGGAGCTAAACAACTACATAATGCGCTGCAGAGAGTGGTATGGTTGGCACTTCCCTGAGCTCGGAAAAGTCATCACCGACAACTTGGCTTACTGTAAAACTGTCTGCAAAATTGGTAAAAAAAAAAAAAAAATCATCTACATCTGCACACTGTTGAGAAAGGAATCCATAGGTGATTTATTGTTACTTCCACCGAATTGGAAGGCTTGCAAGAGACTCATTAAAAAAAAATATGGGTCAAACTCTAAAATTGCTAGATCCTACATTATAATGCAACTGTGTAAAATTGGTGGCATGCCCCTTTTAAAATGTATATGTGTCTCTGATCACTTTTCCTATGCAGGCATGAAAGTAACAGTGCCAACATTCCTAATTATCTAAAAGCGTTTCTGTGTATCTCTAGGTGATCGCACAAACGTCGCCGCCTCTGATCTGTCTGACATCCTTCCTGAGGAGACGGAGGCTGAGGTTAAACTGGCTGCTGAGATCTCCATGGGAACAGAAGTGTCAGAACAGGACATCAACAACATTAAGCACCTGTGTGATCAGGTTTGTTGGTTTTCCATCATTATATTAAGACTCACGGCTTAATTTCATCAGGAGTTCAAGTGACAGTGGTGATGATGATGACAGTTTTCTTTATCTTGAAGCAATCCATGTGGGTTTTCAGTCACTACCTCATCTGAACAGTCACATGACTTCTGCTAGGCTAGGGTCTGTAATACTTTGAGCTATTATTTAATTTCTTTTGTGCTGGCAATTGTAATCTGCTTGTTAAGCGCCCAGACCCAAATGGAGGAGCCTTTCACCCTCTATACGATAACATCTTTTGGGGGACATAATTGAGAAAAAAAAAAAAAAAAAAAAAAAAAAAGACAGTTCTTTCAACTCAAGTATAATAGTCAGTGTAGACTCTACACTGTAGAGTATATAAAGTTACTGGGAGAGATGGCTATGGAGATACACATCATGTTATTTGTCTGACTTGTTATTATTGGTTACCAGCTTTTACCGTTACTTTCATCAGTGTAAAATGTCAATGTGTGGTATTTACATTAACTTAGTGCTAACTACATTACAAGGCAGCAAAACGGCGCACTTAGTTTTATTTTTATTAACTATTAATTTATGAATACTGTGACTTGCCTAATCAACTGTAGTCATTTCTTTTTCTCCTTATCACATGGAAAGCAGAAAGCTCACCTGTCAAAAAATTGTTTGGTTTTTTTTATTCAAAACTTTTGAAACAATGGGGAACACAACAGTGCAGAATATTGAATGAGCCAAACTTTGGACCTGGAAACAGAATGTTATGTCACTACTTAACTAACAGCTACAGAGCTTACCTCCTTTGCTTCCACAGGTGATTGAGATCTCAGAATACCGTGCTCAACTCTATGACTACCTGAAGAACCGAATGATGGCAATTGCCCCTAACCTGACAGTAATGGTGGGCGAGCTGGTCGGTGCCCGTCTCATCGCACATGCTGGTAAGTGACAAAGAAGTTACTGTGAGAACCAACAAAGCAATGATTATGACGACATTATGTCACTTTCCTGAAAACGACTGATGGTTTTTAAGTCACTACCTCATCTGAGCTTGCATTAGTAGGCCTGCAGGGCAGGTACTGTTGAGAGCATCTGATTTCCATGATTCTTTTGTTGCTTCCTACTAAGGTTCTCTCCTGAACCTGGCGAAGCATCCGGCCTCCACAGTGCAGATCCTCGGGGCAGAGAAGGCACTGTTCAGAGCCCTAAAGACCCACAAAGACACACCCAAGTATGGTCTCATCTACCACGCCTCTCTAGTGGGCCAGACCACTGCCAAGAACAAAGGCAAAGTACGTTCAGAAAAAACAGTAACTGGACAAAATAATGAGTTATGAAGACAGTGTGGTGGTTAGAAAATAATGAATGGCTCTTGTTTGTTGTCCAGATCTCCAGAATGCTGGCAGCTAAAGCAGCCCTGGCTATTCGCTATGATGCTCTGGGAGAGGACACAAATGCAGAAATGGGAGCAGAGAACCGTGCCAAGTTGGAGGCCAGGCTGCACCAGCTGGAGGAGAAGGGTGTAAGTACTGTTGCAACAGAAGGACACATGGCATTTCAAGATCATATGTAACATTTTGAATTTACGGATGAGGCTGGTGTTTAGGTATGTTTCTTTTTACACATCAGTTTGTGTTTTTCAGTTTCATTTGTTTCTACTGAAGCTGTCTTTAAAAAAATGTGTCACAAATACATAGTTAAACTTCTCAAAAGGCTTAGTAATTTACGTTAAGCTTATGTTTTAGCGAATGTGACAAACAGAAGAAAGCCCAGTAATCCTAGAAGGTTGTGAAGTTGATCAGCGCTTCTTCACAAAGTATTGTGCTATCTCTATTGTTACCATTCAAAAGAATTACTCCTCAACACAGTTATAGCCTAGTTCAGGTGTTCTTTGTGGAGGCTAACCTTATCGATGGCTGTAACTACTGTTCTGAGTTGACAGTACAGAGAAATATCAGCTGTTTAGCAGCATCATCAAGCAAATCAATCACACAAATGTTCGTCCAAACACTGTTGATTGAAAGGTCATTCCTGTTGCCAGCTTACATTTCATTTTGAGATCAAGTCACCCCTCCCTTATTTTTCAGTGCATATAATTCCCAGTTGTTTTTACTTTCTTTATGATATGTTGCCTTTTTACATTCATTTGGCTTAGCCTCTGCAAAATCACTCAGATGCTGCACCTAAGCCTGTTTATGGTAGAGAAAGCCTTGTTGTTGGTTTGTCTTTATATGGGATTTCTTGGCAGTCTGAATTATACACAGTACCACCAGAATTCCCTTTGAAATTCCATGTACAGTTTATACTTGATTGAAATATTCTGGTCCTGGTAAAATAATTAGGTGTTTTACTTATCTTCTGCCCGTCATCTGATGTTTTCTTCTCCACATTTTTTTTTCTAGATCCGCAGAATCAGTGGAACAGGCAAAGCAATGGCAAAGGCAGACAAATACAAGCACAAGAGGTGAATTGCTACTCTTCCAGACATGATATACAGTGGGTACGGAAAGTATTCAGACCCCCTTACATTTTTCACTCTTTGTTATATTGCAGCCATATGCTAAAATCATTTAAGTTCATTTTTTTCCTCAGTGTACACACAGCACCCCATATTGACAGAAGAACACTGAATTTTTGACATTTTTGCAGATTTATTAAAAAAGAAAAACTGAAATATCACATGGTCATAAGTATTCAGACCCTTTGCTGTGACACTCATATATTTAACTTGGGTGCTGTCCATTTCTTCTGATCATCCCTGAGATGGTTCTACACCTTCATTTGAGTCCAGCTGTGTTTGATTATACTGATTGGACGTGATTAGGAAAGCCACACACCTGTCTATATAAGACCCTACAGCTCACAGTGCAGTTCAGAGCAAATGAGAATCATGAGGTCAAAGGAACTGACTGAAGAGCGCAGACAGAATTGTGGCAAGGCACAGATCTGGCCAAGGTTACAAAAACATTTCTGCTGCACTTAAGGTTCCTAAGAGCACAGTGACCTCCATAATCCTTAAATGGAAGACGTTTGAGATGACCAGAACCCTTCCTAGAGCTGGCCATCCGGCCAAACTGAGCTATCGGGGAACAAGAGCCTTGGTGAGAGAGGTACAGAAGAACCCAAAGATGACTGTGACTGAGCTCCAGAGATGCAGTCGGGAGATGGGAAAAAGTTGTAGAAAGGGGGGCTGCAGTGATGGTTGACTTTCTACAACTTTCTCCCATCTCCCGACTGCATCTCTGGAGCTCAGCCACAGTCATCTTTGGGTTCTTCTGTACCTCTCTCACCAAGGTTCTTCTGCCCTGATAGCTCAGTTTGGCTGGATGGCCAGCTCTAGGAAGGGTTCTGGTCGTCCCAAACGTCTTCCATTTAAGGATTATGGAGGCCACTGTGCTCTTAGGAACCTTAAGTGCAGCAGAAATTTTTTTGTAACCTTGGCCAGATCTGTGCCTTGCCACAATTCTGTCTCTGAGCTCTTCAGGCAGTTCCTTTGACCTCATGATTCTCATTTGATCTGACATGCACTGTGAGCTGTAGGGTCTTATATAGACAGGTGTGTGGCTTTCCTAATCACGTCCAATCAGTATAATCAAACACAGCTGGACTCAAATGAAGGTGTAGAACCATCTCAGGGATGATCAGAAGAAATGGACAGCACCTAAGTTAAATATATGAGTGTCACAGCAAAGGGTCTGAATACTTATGACCATGTGATATTTCAGTTTTTCTTTTTTAATAAATCTGCAAAAATGTCAAAAATTCTGTGTTTTTCTGTCAATATGGGGTGCTGTGTGTACATTAATGAGGAAAAAAATGAACTTAAATGATTTTAGCATATGGCTGCAATATAACAGTGAAAAATTTAAGGGGGTCTGAATGCTTTCCGTACCCACTGTATATTTCTACATGTAATATGAAAGGTGTTAAATACAAATGTTTTTCTGCACAGTGAAGTGAGAATTTATGATCCATCCGGCGATTCTACAATTCCCTTCACCTCAAAGAAGAGGAAGTTCGAAGAGGTCGAAAAGGAGGAGGAGGAGACTGAAGAACCTGTGACGCCTGTGGTCACATCCAAAAGACCCAAAAAGGAACAAGCCGTAGAAGAAGCAGAAACAGCAGCAGCAGAGGAGGCTCCTAAGAAAAAGAAGAAGAAAAAGAAAGACAAGAAAGTGGAGGCTGAACCTGAGGAACCAAAGGAGGATGAAGAGGAGGTAGCTGTAACAGACGTAAGACAAGTTTAAAGAGGATTCAATAGATATTCAAAGGTCTCCATTTTTTGTTTTTGTTGATCACTTTTCTCTCTCCAGCCAGAAAAGAAGAAAAAGAAGAAGAAAAAGAAGATAGAGGAAGAAGATGACTAAAAGGAGTGGACACAGTATATATTTTATTTTTGACAGTTTTTATGTTTTTTATTTGTGAACACATCAATTTCAGACATTCAAAGGAATGAGTTCATAAGTTTCCCTTTTTTTTTTTGACAAATATGTGAACAACTGCACTGGTGAAATACTTTTTTTTCTGTAATTGTGTGATTTGGTTGTATACATTGCAGCAGAATGAATATAAAAATGGTAATTTTCAATTCGAAAATGCCATTTGGATGACAATTTAAGTTAAAATTCTTGTTAACACATTGCTTTTTGCTGCATTTGAAGAAAAATTTGTTAAGTAATAAAAGTTTTATGTGGTTCCCCAGTACACATTAATCGAGGCTGTGTGACTTTGAAAAGATACATGATAACTGCTCTTCCTCACAAAAGAAAAGTTTAGCTTATAAATACTAAAAGCATATTGACAATTCCGTATACTATGGTATTACTGCAACAGCCTTACGTTGTCTGGTAACTGGTTAATGTTGATTTAGTGCTATTACTATGAGGTGCCGTATGGGACTTTTTTCAGAATTATATCACAGACATGTGAAACTAAAGTCTGTTACATACTATACTGAAAACCACTCACACAAGTGAAATGCTTTCATATACACAAGTGAAAGATTGTCCTTGTATACAAGTGAAAAAACTCTTCATACATACAACTCAAAACTTCTCATAAAGACTACTGAAAATCAGTTCAGTGGAACCGGAAGGCGTTTCAGTGAAACCGGAAGGTGATGAAAAAAATGGAGCGAGTTTCAAAATACAGGCAAATCCACCGCAATGCCTGCTCAACAGCCTGCAAGCAGCCTCACCGAAGCAGCTGCATTACTTAACACTATACTGGCCTCAGCATTATTGAAATGTGATTTTGAGGTTTTTAAATTGCCAATTAAAATTTCAGGTTTCCACAAACATTTTGTATTATTGGAAAATGATATATACTCCAAACTTCATGCCTCATAATGCCACCTTATGGAATAATAGAGCAATTACATTAAATAAAAAGACAGTTTTTAAACAAGAATGGTTTGATAAAAATGTTTATGTGGTGGATCTGTTAGATGATGAGGGTCAGATAATTGACCATAATTCATTTATGGAAAAATTTGATCTAAAATGCTCTATAAGAGAATTTAATTATTTATGTAAAGCCATCCCTATCCCATTAAAACAACTAATACATAATACCCTTTTATATTCAAATGTGATTATTAAATTGCCCGAACTAAAGCTTGGAGAAATATATATCGGGGACAAAAAATGTAAGAATAAACTAATAGAGAAATATTAAGAAAAAGGTTTTGGTTTGAAGTTGACTTGTGTGTTTTTTGTTCTCAAGAAAACGAAACAATTGAACATTTATTTTACCATTGTCCAATAGTGCTACGATTCTGGCAGGAAATTTTCATTTGGTTGGATGTTGATACTAAAAATGATACTCCATCATTTAGCTTGTTCCAGATTTTGATTTATACAGAGACCCCTTTCAAAAATATGACATTGATGTTAAATATTATTATTACTATGGGTAAATTTCATATACACAAATGTAAATGGAAGAACATTACACCATCTTTAAGTTGTTTTAAAAATGAATGTAAGAAATATCTAGAAACTTTAAAACTAGTATCCAAAGATAGTCAACACCTTACAGAATTATATAATTTTATGTATAAGTCTCTTTTATTTTAGAATGACATGGGTTGTTCCTTGAGTTCTTTTTCTTTTTTCATTTTAAGGGCACAATATGATCAATATGAATGGGATTATATATGTATGTGTATATGGATTTGTATATATATGCATATGTAAGTTAATTTCTTATATGAATGGGATTATATATGTGTGTGTATATGGATTTGTATATATATGCATATGTAAGTTAATTTCTTTCTTGTGCACATAACTTTTCCCCTTTTCTGAATTTGTACATTGTTTCTAATCCTTAAATAAAGAATTTAAAACCTGAAAAAAAAGAATACTGGCCTCAGCGGAGACCATGAGAACACTGTCAAATGTGACAACAACCGGACAGCAGCTGATCGTTGCAAATCCAAGTGGGGACACGCTGGACAGTTATCTAGCATCACTTTTCCCATCCCACCAACACAGCAGCAGTCTACCTTCTTCTGCAGCTCCAGTAAGGAGAGAATGTGCACCGCGATATCAAGCGCAGCGGTGTTGCGTAACATGGACATCAGGCACAAGGAGAAAAAGGTAATTAAAAATTGTCTGACTTTTTTTACATATATATATCGCCATGCCACGTTAGATAACGTTATTTTGAATCGCTAGACTTTATACTTGGAACTGGAACTGAAAAGGTTTTCATTCATTTTGTTATTCAGGGCTAGTACTGGTTGTCCATAGTTTCACTAGATCTTGATATATTTATAGAATGGCAATAGTTAACATTTTAATGTACTGGAAGGGACTAACGTAAGGAACTGACTTCTCTTCGTGGTTACGGTTATATATTTCATCTCATTACTTGTACAATATGACAGCGTAATTGCGGAAAAAATAGCAATAACCAGAGGTGGTAAGTAACTAACGTTAAATGCATTTACTCAAGTACTGTACTTGGACTTTACTTAAGTATTCAGTAATTTCATGTTACTTTTACTTAGCTACATACGTATCATTTATGGATTAATCTCCTGTCACTATTTAAAGTTGCTACAATCAGTTCCATCTTTACCAACTGCAGTTTTTGTTATAGAGTCTTTAGGTAACAACACCTTTTAGTCAAAATTTTCACCTTTGAGACAACAAATCTGGATTAAACTTATTTAAAATACACAGTTTTCTTTGTGGAATATTTTTACTGATGTACTTTAAGTAACATTAGGAGCTTGTACTCAGTACTGACTACAAAAATTTGAGTAGTTCTACTTGTAGTGGGGTATTTCTCCACCTCTGGATTACTTTGGTAACTAGGTGGTGTTAAAAATCATTTTGGGCACAATAAAAGTCAGTGGAAAAGGAAAGGGGGTTTGATTAGGGGTGACCTTTTTTTTCTTTTTTCAATTTTTTGGCCTGCTTACCATATTTAAGATATCTATATCATTTGATAATGCTTGGTTTGTATAGGGTTGCAAGATATTATACTGTCGTCTCTGACTTAACATGCATAGGCTATTTTTATGTGGCCTAATGGTTACTTTTTGTTTTTCAGAGCTAGGGCAACAGCAGTATGACAATTTCAATGAGGACATAATACTGCTCCCCAGTCCATCATGGGGAGTAGTTTGCAAACAAGGTTCAAAACTATGGTTACACAAACATGGGCACATCCTTAGTGCCTTTGAGTTCCAGAAGGCCTGGGACCTCCAAACTGTTATGAAACACATCAGGGATGGATTTGGTGAGCACATTCCAGAGGATGTCAGGTAAAGGCCTTTTTTATGTGTGTGTCAATTAGTAATCTTTCTTTAGATCACAAAAACAACAAACACAGGTTTGAAAAATGCTATCATGATTGTTAATATATAGCCTACCAATTTAAAATGTACATGATTCACCCACACACTCATCAGACCCAGAAAACACTGCTTACTCACTGTACAAATCATGTATTGTTGTAATATCCCCATCTTCTTTGTAGCCTCCAGCTTCTAATGGCTTGTGGCAGTAAGCTAGTGTCACCTAAGCTCCAGGAAGGTCAGGAGCTGAATGGGATGCTAATCCATAAGGTTTACAAGACCAAGGCCCTATATGTGAG